CTTTATGTTATAAATAGTTTTGTTAATTATGATTCTGAAACAGATATGTTAAGGTTTAAATATTTTAATTAAGAAAGCAATTTTGTATCTTATGTTTATTATAAGACCTTTAAAAAAAAAAAATGTTCCGTAAATTTTAAGAAATTTCAGTAAGTACAAGTAAAAAGGTTAGTTACAGTGGCGGCCTCAAAAGAGGATCGCTACAATATAGCCGTAAACTGCAAGAGTGTTGGATAATACCACAACCACCATGTAATTCTTAATTCGAGAAATATTAGTACCACTCTTCCTGTCACTCTCTACATTTATTATTTGATATATGAATTGTATTGTCTCATTTTCTATTCAAATAATAATATCTCATGTTAATAGAGTTCACATGTCAAACAATGAATGCGAGTAACAAAAAGAGTAATGTTAGTATTTTTAACTTCTTTATCAATATTGTTATAGCAGCAGAGGAGCTCCAAACCATATTGGATCACATTTATTTGAAAAATAAAAATAAATAAACGAACGAAATACAAGGACATGTTTGTAAACGACAATCTTGTGAGAAAGCGAATAAGGAGCTTTCTATTTTTTTTTTTTTTTTAATAGAGCTATCTATCGGCAGCACATGTTTTATATAATAATAATAATAATAATGAATTAAAATAAAACAAAACGGATAAAATGCCATACAAATTTGAGGGTAAAAAACTTTTTATATATCCATGTAAAAATTATCAACTTTTTACAGCGGGTAAAAACCTAGTCAATATCTGCAATTATTACTTAAACCAAAGTACAGAATATTAATTAACATCTTCCATCGCTTTTCAACACCCTGCAAATTTCTTTGTTTCGAAAAAGAAAGAGAAAAAGAAAAGCCACAGCAGAAGGTTAATTGAAGATGATGAGTGGAGCAGGGAAGGTGGTGTGTGTAACCGGAGGTTCAGGTTATATAGCGTCATGGCTGGTCAAGCTCTTGCTTCAAAGAGGTTTCACTGTCAAAGCCTCAGTTCGTGACCTCAGTTAATAATTGCTACATCTTTTTTCTTTTTTTCTTTTTTAAAAAAAAAAAACTCTTATTAACATCTTCCTAATTACTTTTTCTAAATTAGCAGTCTCTTCACTTTTCGGATTCTGGGTTTTGAATTTTTGTTGTACTTGTTCATTTTCCTATGAGCAATCCATGACTTTTAATCAATTTAGACAAAATTGAGAAGTTTTTCTTTTACGTTTTATTCAGTTTCCATCCATATTGTGGTTGATTTTCTGGAATTCAATCTGATTCAGTGATTTGTTTCAATTTGGAATTTCTTTGATCGTTGACTATTTTTATAGGTAGTTATTCAAATTGATTCTGGTCATTTGTAAATGTATGAGGCCGATTGCTAGTACTGCTCCTCACCAGTAAATTGTCTCTTTCTTTGATCCGTAGATGTATTGTGTTTAGAGATTGTCTCTAATTGATTCTGTTATAAGTATAACTAGTTAGGTGACGTGGCAATTCCTAATTGGCTACTGGTGTATATTGTTAATTCCTTAAATCTGTACCCGGTGATTAGGTTTTTTTTTTTTTTTTAAAGCAAGTACCTGGTGATTACTTGAGGGGTAACAGATTTGTCATTTGTACTCTGTTTGTTTCCTGAGAAAATTCCTTGTACTGTGAGCTGGTGTGTGATTCATTCTGTGAGTACTGAGTGTGTAAATTCAAGGCATTTGATAGTGGATTTTGGCTAGGGTTGATAACCCTCCCTTGGATGTAGGATTTGCGAATCCGTACCAAGTAAATCGTGTTTGTCCTCTTCGTTTGATTCTTGTTTGTTCATCTTTGATCCAAGATTGGAAGTTTAATCTTCACATTGTGTTTTATTTTCTTTCATTTTAAAAATATTTCACAGAATATATTGGTGTTTTTCAACTCTTTCCTAATAATTTTAACCCCATATATCTGAGTTCTCTGTCATTTGAAATCAAGTTTTCTATTTATGTTAATTATGGTACAGATGATCCAAAGAAAACGGAACACCTGGTTTCACTAGATGGAGCTAAGGAAAGGCTTCATTTGTTCAAAGCAAATTTATTGGAAGAAGGGTCCTTTGATCCTGTTGTTGATGGATGTGAATGTGTTTTTCATACAGCATGTCCTGTATTTTCTACAGTCACAGATCCACAGGTTGTTAATTAGTCCTTGTAAGCTTAATGCCTTCAAGTAATTTGGATATTTTATATATCACTCAGTTTATATACATCTATACGTATGTGTGTGTGTCTATTTATACATTCCTTAAGTTTCAGGCAGAACTAATTGACGCTGTAGGGAAGGGGACACTGAACGTTTTGAGGTCATGCACAAAAGTTCCTTCTCTAAAAAGGGTGGTTTTAACATCTTCCATGGCTTCAGTTTCATTCAATATAAGACCTCTTGCGCCAGATGTTATTATTGATGAGACATGGTTTTCGGATCATGTTTTCTGTGAGGAGTCAAAGGTGTGTGTTTATGTGTTGATTTACCGCTTTTCGAAGATTACTTCATAATCTGTTTTTAATTCTTTGAATAGTCTTACTTTTATTTGTCATAAGTACTACTATGGTTTCTAGAAGTTTCTGTTTTATATATGTATAGCCAAAGAGAAATTGTCTTCCCATGTTTTTTTTTTTTGAACATTTCACTATAATGGGAATTAAACTCCCTTTCCCTTTTTGGATAAGGAAATTGGATTATTTTTGCAACTTATAACTTACAAGGACTCCAATCTGGAAAGAGTCAATAAATAAACCGATTCTTTGATCTATATTGGATTCTATAATATTCTGTAACATACGTAGAAAGCAATTCCCTTATGACGTGTTAAGTTTGATGTAGTTTGTAGCTCTGTTTCTTTTAAGATTAGGCTTTTTAGGATCTTACATTTTAAGTTTGGCGTGCAACTTATGTTCTAGACTCATGTTTTTTCAACTATTCTAGTTTCAGAACAATCAGTTACTTTTCCTATTCATGTTTTAATTACTTTGACAATTATAATAAGTCAAGCATTTCATTGAAAGCTATAGCTATAGTGTTTGTTTTGAGAGAGAAGTATAAAATTTGCATCTATTTTCTTGGTTACAGCTTTGGTATATGCTTTCAAAAACCTTAGCTGAGGAAGATGCGTGGAAATTTGCAGAAGAATACGGGATCGACTTGGTTGCAATAAATCCGGGAGTTGTGATTGGCCCTTTGTTACAGCCAACTCTTAATCTCACTGTGGAGTTTCTTCTAAATCACATAAACGGTATATCTTAAGCATCTAGCTAGTTCTTTTTATTATAATTATGGCAGTTCAAGATATAAAGATCATTAGTTTGTGAACTTGTAACTATTAAATTAGTTCTACATAATATTTGTGTCATGTAATTTTTAATTTTCATTTGGTTGCAGGAGCTCAAACGTTCCCTAATAAAGTGTATATGTTTGTTGATGTTAGAGATGTAGCATTAGCACATATTCAAGCATGTGAAGTTGCTTCAGCCAGTGGAAGATATTGTCTAGTTGGGCATGTTGTGCACATTTATGAGGCTCTCAACGTTTTACGACGATTCTTCCCCGCTTTAAGCATTCCAGAAAAGTAAGTTATCGATGTTTTTCAACTCTGAAATTTACCGACAACGCGTGACAAAATCTCTTAATTAAGCAGACAAAAGTAATGGTTTCATTATTGGTAGGTGTGAAGATGACAAGCCTCCCTTGCCAAAGTACCAAGTATCAAAGGAGAAAGCAAAAAATTTGTGTGCTAACTTCACACCTTTGGAAGTGACTCTGAGAGACACTGTTGAAAGCCTAAAGGAGAAGGGTTTTCTCCACTTTTAGGTGACTATGTATTGACCGAAATATTGTGGATTGTGATTGGTAGAAGTTGTTTCAAAATGAAACATCCTTTATGCTCTAGTACTTGTTCCAACCTTACATTGTAACTTCTTTTTAATCGCATTTTTATTCTTAAAAAGGACAATCGATCTTGTAGAAACAAGTACCAACATGCTTTCATGATCAACATGACGCGGAAAAGGAAAAGGTTGGATGAGCCACAACCACAGGTGACATCTAGGAGAGAAGTATTGAAGACAAACTGGCATGATTAAAACGGCATGTTGTATCTAACAACTAAAAAACGGTATGTCGTATATGTGAAAACGACAGGAGAAATGACTTTGTGAAAACGACATGTCGTCATGTTAATATATATATATATATATATATATATATATATTATCACTCATCGACAATAAAAAAAAAATTAATAAAAAAACTGAAACT